ACGCAAAAGTACATTCTGTACTAATCTTCTGTAAGCCTTAATTTACACTTGGCAGAAGACGCGGTATATTCTGTACTAATCTTCTGTAAGCCTTAATTTACACGGGGCAGAAGACGTGGTATATTCTGTACTAATCTTCTTTAAGCCTTATTTACATGAAGCAGAAGACGTTGTATATTCTGTACTAATCTCCTTTAAACCTTAAAAGACGCGGTATATTCTGTACTAATCTTCAGTGAGCCTCATTTACACAACCGGGTTTGGAAGTTTTGACGGAGTTTGTTGACACCATGTTTTTATACAATCTTGGACAAAATGTTTGGACGCTAATCTATATTGATGTTATTGTGTATATACATGAAGTAGTTATTGAGTAAATTCCCGAGTAGTAACAGAGAAGATAGAGTATGATCGGACAAACATGTACGAGTTATTATTCCGGTCTGTATAAGTTGTTTTGATGATTTGTTCATTAAAACACACATACATACTTGTTTTGTATAAAAGGGTGTGATTTTGGTATAAACTCTTTCGAAACAGATCAACTCTTTGTCCAGATAATTCTCTGTACTCTATGTAGAGTGATACCTTGTTACGTGCTAGAAGCTATAGGGCATCAAATATTTAGCTGTCCAGAAATGGTATGAAGAAAACGGACATTACCAGAACAGCAAAGTACCCCCCCCCCAGTGTACTGTATCCAGAGCTATCAAAATTCATCGAGGTAAGAAACGTTCTTCCAGGAAATTCTACTGGTAAATGTCGAAAAACTACTGTCCAAGATCATCGCGTTCTGATCAGTTAACATGTCAAGGTAGGAAGAAGTCTTACAACACCTTACGACAGGAATGGCATGAACCAATTCATTCCAGGATATCCAGAAGAACAGTGAATAGTAGACTGATCAAACAAGGTTATTTTGCGAGAAGAGCTATCTGCAAACCGATATTAACCAGAATTTACCCCGTCATCATGTAACTTGGGGAAGACAGCATGCCAACTTACAGATAGGACATTGGCGAAAAATCTTTTTTTTTTTCAGATGAGTTCCGGTTTCTGGCTAATCAAAGATGATGGTAAGATTCGTGTTCGTCGTTTGCCAGGAGAACAGACGAGGGAAGCCTTTCTTTCCCACAGAGTACACACAGGAGGTGGTGCAGTACACAGGTGGACAGCTATTCATCATAGTAGAAAATTGTTCTTCATATCCTTCAGGGAAACATCAATGGCGCCTTCTACAGTCATAACATGGAAACGATATTCCTGCCATATGCTAGTGCAAGGTTTGGCAATAACCTTGTGTTCCAGGATGACAATGTCACTAACCACACTGCGTGTATTGTACAGTGTTATCTCGACCAGGAGGACTTTACAAGATTGTCATGGCAGCAATGTCTCTAAATTTTAATCCCATTGAGAATTGATGGGCAGAACTGAGCTGGAAAATTGCTAACCACGACCCTAAACCAACTACTGTAGATAAGTTGCAGCGCCTTCTACTGACAAGTTGGGATGAAATCACGATGGATTACATCAATAACCTCATCGACAGCATGCTACGTCGCCTTACGGATGTTATTAGAATACGAGAAGGACCAACCAAGTATTAAATGTTTAATATGAACTGATATAATGTTACAGACGCTATTCATAATAATTTGATATTATATTTTGTCACTATATATATTTTGGTAAGGTTTAGGTATTATGTGTGAAATGCTGAATTACACATCTTTCTAAAAATGTCTGACAAAATTATTTGCTGTTCTAATAAATCGTTCATGATGTTCATAGAACCTGTCTCATTATGCAAATTACATATGTAGAATTTTAATATAACATTTATTTCTCAGTTTGACAGCGCTAAGTGTATTTGTATTCCATCTCTTAGAATAATGATCTTATTTGTTACAACATATGCAAACATTTTGGCCAAGACTATTTTGCCGACTTATAATTGATTGATTGATTTTAGTTAAGCACAAAGCTACACAAATGGCTATCTGTGCTCTGCCCACCACGAATATCGAAACCCGGTTTTTAGCGTTGTTAGTCCTCATACATACCTCTGTGCCACTGGGAGCTCCGACCTATGACCGCAATTTTAAGGTTTTAATATCTTGATCATACATTCAACATATAGTTTTTATGTGTCATCGCGTTGCAATAATTTTTATTTGTTCAGCTTAAGACTCGAAAAATAAACAGGTATCACACTTCCCAGTATAACACATGTTAGGATGATCTAGATATGACAAGAAACCTAGAAGAAAATTTGACCGAACTGTTTTGATGTCATTGCATTTGTACTTTTCATAAAAAAACACAAACTAAACAGCAAATTGATTCTATTTATCAAGCACTTTTCATAAAGTATTAATAAAAGTTGATTAGCTGTTTATCAAACCTAAATGTAGGAAACCAAAAACAGTTTATGAATTCTTAATGTTAATATAAATCTCAATATCTATGCTTTAAACAACTGGAGAATGTATGTGTATTAAGGCTATTCTATACAAAGTCATGTTGCTCAATTCGCCTATGGATTTCTGTGTGATGTGATCAGGCTGTTGAAATGGACACTGATAAACTATATCATACAATAGCTGGTTTATGGAACGCCATCAAGAAATAATTATGTGCTTTTGATACATTAGCTGGTTTATGGAACGCCATCAAGAAAGAATTGTGTGCTTTTGATATGACAGCTTTACGATGGATGGAGGCTTCTGCAATGCAAACTTAAAGATAGTTGAAACTAGTACCCATAACTGCTTTCTTTAATATTGTTATACCCTAGCAAGTTTGGCTTCATTGAACTGAATTTCAACCCCTTCTGGGTTTCCTCTTCTCATAACAATCTTTTTATTGTCATTAGAATTCCCTTTCCCTATGCATTATATTGTACATCATTTTTGTAGGTATTTTAAAAACGTTCCAGTTTTGATGAATATCTATGTCTCCAAGAGCTGTTGTAGAAATGATCTCTTCATTTAGCAGCATTCCAAAATGTCATCTGAATTATATTATTGATCTCTTGAAAAACTTACGTAAACCCTTTTACTTGACATCGTTGTTAAGAAAACTGTATATAATACAGAGGGTTCAGTATTTTATATTACATTTATTTTGAATAGACATATCAGCAAGTCATGTAACAAACACAATCAATTTAAAGTTCAGGACTACATTTTGATATACCTTGGCTTTTATAAATAGTTTTATGCCACCACAA